CGCAATCACAGCTCCACTTGGTTACTCTCGATGCCAAGGATTGCGTAGCCCTCAACAAATCTCATCTAGCCATACGCGCTGCAAACAATATCTTCATGAGGACCTTGCTTGCAATGGGTTGCAACCGCCCGACCTTCTCATTTTCTTCAAGGGGCCTAGCGGTACGCTGGTCGTGAAAGGGTGTTGATACGGGCTTTAACGTATCCCTTGATACCTTAGCCAACACGCAATATCTGGTAACACACGTTTCAAGGAAGTCTGCCATGTCATACGTAACACGGTTGACGGGCTTGGTCATGCAGCCTACCCTCTTGTTCTTCTGGTCGTCACCGCTGGTTATAAAACGATTGCTCTTGACTTCTTTCTTTGCCTGGCCTTTGTCCCTGATAGGCTTGCCCTTGCGGGCAGCTGCTACGGCAACCTTTAGCTCATCAGGATCACGGCCTTGCAGGTCAGAGTAGGTCTCACCGGTCCACCAATTTGACATAGGTGTGGAGAGCCTTTCATTGAAATCGTCCTGTATAACAGTTTCTTCCTTCCCCCCCTGATTCAAGGCAACAGTGCACCTAGACGTGGTCATAGTGGGGAACATGGAAACGTCGTCCTCGGTGGGAACATACAAACGTTTACGAGGGTAACAATGGTGCTTAATAGCCAACATGTTCTCAGGATCGATATCCCAATAATCTTCATGCCGGACAGTAGCAGCTGCAGACTTAGTGCCTTTCTCAAAGACCTCGTGGAACGGGTGAGCAGACGCTGGCAATCTGATTTGAGTCTCCTCATGATGCATGCTACCAAAGTATCTGCCCAGTACTTCAGCGGGGTCCATATCGATGAATTCCCCAAGCAACTCCCATCCCTTTGCCATCTTCTTTTCCGGGCCAGCCATCTTAAAGTCATCAACGTAAATAACCAAGAGGAGGTCCAGTTTAGGATGATGGAATACCGAAGGCCAAATATCAGGTAGAACAGCGACGAAACCAGCCTTAGTGAGTTCCTTAGTACAATGCTGTTCCCAAGTCCCTCCGGAATCGGGATGGCCGTACACTGCAAGACGCAATGGTGCGACAGGGTCCTTCATGCTGGACCAAGCTTTTGGCCAGCGGTTCCTTGGAAGACGAACCCAGGTCTCCGTTCCTTTCAACAAGGCCTGGGTGTACGCTTGACGTGCATCGGCCTGCTTTTTGTGAAACCGGGTTGAGACCCGTACACATCAATGATTTTACCGGCCTCCATGGACGCAGGACTACTACCCAGTTCGGCGAACAATGCATGATCTGAGTTTTCATCCAATACCTTGTTGCCCTGAAACACGGATCTGCCCTTGTACTTACGATTGGGGTCTCCCTCTTTCAGTTCCGATCCCTTCAAAGCGCAGATCTCAAAGACCCTTCCGGAGTGAACTTTTAGCTTCTTCTTTTGGGCCTCAGAAGCAACTTGATCATACTCCCGCACCTGTTTCTCAATCCAACATCCCTTGTCTACCAATTTCTGCCACTCGTGCGCTGAATCTCAGGTTGCTGGAGGATCTTGGCCACTAATGCGTACATAGAGTCGGCAATATCACCTAGTTTCTCAACACAAACATGTGCGTATCTTTCACGATGACATTCAACCCNNGTGTCACTGGCATAGCTGGAGTAGCCTTCTTCAGCTCCTGACACTCCGCCTCCTTTTGTGCTTCGAGTTTCTTACGGTACCTTTCTGCGTCAGCAGCTCTATCCTTTTGGGACATCATCACCCATGCAGACGAAGGAGTGTCGAGAGGTCTAGCGGAACCGCGTTTGTTACGGACAAGTCGAGTACCATCATAATTGTAACCCTTTGGAACAGGGGAACCATCCGGCATTTTGAAAGGATCCCAACCTGTTTTAGGCCTAGGAGCCTCCGAAGGAGGTGGATCAATTGGTCCTGGCTCAGACGAGCCCTTCGCTTCTCCTTCGTCATCGGATGGTGCATACTCGGCGAGATCTGCATCCTCGACGGCTTCAACTCCCGCTGGGCGGACGTTGGCGTTTTGGTCATCAAGTTGAGGGGGCTTCTGGTTGCCCAGAGCTTCCAGACCCAACGCTAGGGGAAACACAAAATCCCCTTGCAATAAGTCAATCTTCTTGGACCGAATTATTTTCAGGTCGTTGGCTTCGATAGCACCCTCAATTTTGTCCAACGGAGCGACCAGGTATTCTTCTTTCCAAATGAATCCTGGTTGAATATGGTACCCTAAGAAGATTCCCTCAGCAGCAGTGGGGGAAAACTTAGAGATTTTAGGAGCCTTGAGTTTTGGGTTGTTCCAAAAGAGGATCTTAGCACCAAAAGGAATTTTCACGCCACTGAAATCCTCACCGAACCTTAGCTGCCAGGGAACTTTGCCATTGTCCAACCTGGTGGTTGTGTTGAGGGCCATACAATGATGCTCTGAAGCGAGCGGCCAGTATCGCTCAGGCAACC